GCTTTGATTCCATCATGGTTGCCGTAGATAGATTCTAAAAAATGTTTCACTTTATTGCTTGTAAGAAGACTTTCGATGCCCTTCACATTGCAGGTTTTTTTTTTCATGAAATTGTTTGTCTACATGGCATACCATGGAGCCTAACTTCTGATCGTGATATAAAATTCATTAGTTATTTTTGGTGTGAGCTTTGTAAATAAATGAACACTACTTTATAACTTAGCTCTATCTATCATCCTCAATTCGACAGTCAAACAAAAATGCTCAATAGGACTCTTGGTAATATGCTGAGATACTTAGTTCAAGACCACCCAAGAAATATACTTAGTTCTAGACCGCTCAATAAGTTGCAGCCCATTTAGTATTGTTTACACTAAGCTCCCAATCATATATTTGATGTCACCATTTTATCTAAATGTCACAATAAATAAGCCTTTGGTATTGCTACATAATTCTCTAGCATGCTGCTTGATGTTCGCAGTTAGCCTTTGGCTTCTAATGATACTTACAAGAGCAAGTAGACCAACACCATCGTCACAAGGTGTTCCACCTAGGCGAGTTAGTTATGGTCTGTTGACCATACCTGTTAACGACGAATGGCGCACCATGGCACAAAGGTCCCTTTGGAGCCATGGTGCATAGTGCACGGCGCGGTGCACGCCATTTTGAACATGGTACAAATTATATAAAAATTATAAAATAATAAGCATGAATATGAAATATCATTAAAAATGAAAGGCAAGCTATCATAATAATGAAATACAATACATATATAAGTTTGACTAAGTAACATTCAAATATCTCATAATTTAAATATTACAATATTTTTTTTAAAGATCAAACAAAAATTTAATCTACTCTTCTTGGGAATCATCATCATCATTAAATGTTAAAAAAGCTTTATTATCTTCATCAATATTCTCCTACTTCATAATCCTATTCATCACCCTCATCATCCTCATTCTCAATAACAACATGATACCTAATTGAAGATTCATTCTCTTTCCCTTTAGATCTTTTTTGAATATTATATCTTTTATTATAAACACTAGTAGCCTTAGCAGTACTTGTTCAAGTTAAATCTTCATCTCCAGCAATAAAGTCATTTTCTTCATCAGACTCATCATCTAATTTTCCTGTTAGCCATTCATTTGCATCATTTATCTCAATCAAAGAAATAGGATTAATCACATCACGATGATTGAATCTCCGAATCAGTACTCTATTATATTTCACATAAACTAAATCCTTTAAGCGACCATAATACAATTTGCTTCTTCGTTTGCTATGAAGCTGTAATTAAAATATTATTACATTACTATATTATGAACATATATAAAAAAGCAACACATACATTGTAAAATACTTACATGTTCAAAAATACTCACATTGCGTTCGCATCCAAATGAACTACATGTTAGACTTAGGACTTTAATAGCAAAGTTTTGTAAATTGGGAGCTCCTTATCCATATGCCAACCACCAATGAGCTGGAAGAAATGATTTTTTTTTCAATATTATATACTTGCAAATCAGTCTTAATTTTTTCGTAAATAATGATACCTGGATATCGAGTAGTTCTTTATCTTACAGCTGGAGGAATATCAAATAGTCATTCACCCTAATGTATAAACTTAATTCATTACTGATTTTATCTTCTTCAGCTACATCTTGAGATAATCTTTCAATACATTGATAAAGACCATCAGTTATTTTCTTATCTTTGGCAATATCAGGGTTATTAAAAAAATATTCAGGATTTAAAAATGTCCCACTGCATGTAGAGGCCGGTGTAATTACACTTCCCATTTTCTATCAATTATTTTAAAAATTTGATCATACTTATCACTGTTATTGAAGCTTGCAGCAATTGCATTTTTTGCTCTATCAATTGTTTCATATATGTAAGCAATTGGGGGCTTCTTCTCTCCATCAATCAATCTAAGAACTTTTAATAAAGGATCAGCTATTTTTAAGGCATACACTATAGTGTTCCAAAATGATTGCTGTAAGATTGTATGTTGAGATTGTTTTGCTTTAGCCTCTTTCGCATAAGGACCCAAGATAAACTCCTCACATGTAAACATTTTCTTCAAGTTCAGTTGTTGATGAAAACGTTGTAAAGTTAAGAAAGTTGTTGCAAAACGAGTCTTTGTGGGTTTGATAAGTGCTCTTTAATTTGTGCACCTTCTCATTAACTTAAGTAAGCGAGTCCTAGAATATATAAAGCTGTGTACTGCCACCTCTTTCTCAAAGCATCACCTTAGCTTTTGAATTTTGAAAATGCCCTCCATTATTAAATCCAAACAGTGAGCAACACAAGGAGTCTAATAAATGTGAGGATATTTGTCTATCAATAATTTTATTGTTATGTCATTATAATTTAAGTTAAGATATATAAAAATTCTTCATGAAATAACATAGTTTTAAAATAAAATTTGTGACAAACCTGCAAGAACATTTTCGGATGCATTATCAGTGACGACTTGGATCACATTATGTGGTCCAATAACCTTGATGTACTTGCAAAAAAGTTCAAACATTTTCATAGCATTCTTGGAGAAAGAACTAGAATCAATTGACTCTATGAATGCGCAACCTCTTGGACAATTAACAAGAAAATTGATTAAGCTTTTCCCATTCCTCGACGTCCATGCATCTGCCATTAGAGAACAACCATATCGTACACAATCTCTTGATGATGTCATAATAGCTCATGTGTATGTCCAACTTTCTTCAAACAAGTAACTCGTACCTCATGATAACTAAGAGGTTTCATACCAGGTCCAAACTGCCCAAGTGCCTCCACCATAGCAGGAAAACTATCATAGTTTATAATATTAAATGGAATCTCAACATCGTATACCATCTACTGAACACTTGAATAATCCTTCCCCTCATTTCTTTTTTAGCTGCATCAATTTCTTTGCTAAACTGACATTTTCTATGTTTTACTACATCTTCAGAATTTGGTGTAAGGAAAGTATCTAATGGACCTTTAGGTCGTGATGTTTTGAAGATAGCTGTCGATGTCGAACTTTGACTAGATGTGTTAGATTTATTTGTCCGCAACATTTTAGATGGTTTAGCAACTAAAATATCATCTGTGGTCACATCAAAGTCTTATCATTCTCCTTCAGCAAGGTTGACATTTGATAGGTCATTAAATTGTTCCTTTAAATTCTTTTTTTCAACATGGATGCCTTAATTTCAGACTTCACGTGCTCTGAATAGTTAGCGCAAGACCTTGCATTCCTAAAACCCCAACGAGGTGTTGTTTGTGGCGTGTAATTCCTCCTTTTGTTATTTTACCACAAAAAAATGCATGCCACATTGTTGTTATCAGATTCATTTGTTAGTATAACATATTTTCATGCTAGATCTTTTTTTAAAGATTGAACTGAATCTAACATTTATAATCACCTAAAAGCAAACAAATTTAGATAAAGAAATATAATATTGTCTAAGAAACATAATATGCCGGGCTGTCAGGGATCCAAGGGGCATTGCCCCCTGGCGGGGTTTGACCTGCCCAGTTAGGTCGCGGTGTCAAGGGGCAGCGCCCTTGCGGGGGTTTATATGTCGTTTGTATGGAAAAGTACCGAGCATGTACCTAGCAGTACCGTGCATGTACCTAGCGATACCGAGCATGCACATAGCGGTACCGAGCATATCTGTTAAGTTGTAAATTCTTATAAGAAATAGCCGTGCAAAACAACAGAGCTGTGCGAAACTGACGGATTGACAGAGGTTGCAAATCAGAGTCAACTGGTAAGATTTTTTTATTAGAACAGACGGAGGGGGCGGATTTGGCGGAAGCACTGCTCTGCGGGACGATTCGGTGGAAGCATCGACTTCGACTTTGGGACAGATTCGACTGGATTCGGCGGAAGCAGCGAATGCGGCGAACAGAAAACCTTCGACTTCGGGATAGATTCAACGACTTCGACTTAGGGACTGCGGTATGTGTTCAGCGGATGCAGCAAATAGAAAATCTTTCGTGAAATTAGGACAACGAACAATCATTTATCTTAAAATATAAATATATTTTTAAATAAAAAAATATTCATAAGTATAATGAAATTTAAAAATAATTTGGCGTGCTATTTTGTGCCGTGCGCCATGCGCCATAGCTCACATGTGGCACAAATAGCGCGCGCTATTTTAAACACATGCGTCTCGCCATGAACATGGAGCTGTAGGTGTGCCGCGCCGTGCCGTGCGCCATGGCACGCTCTATTTTGCGCCATTGACAACTATCCTGCTGACATCGCGAATTTCCACCTAGCACATATTCAAAGGTGGGCCCCCTGAAGATCGGACCTATTTCAATCTAAAAGAAGATCAATGGCAATGCTTATGTCATTGATTCGCCCAAACATCTTCCGGCGGCATTTACTGTTGCTGGCATTTACTTTTTATCCTGTTGATGAATCCCACTGATAACAGCTTAGTAGACTTGAGCTCTTCCAGCGTGGGGGCAACATGATGGGGAGCATGTTAAGTCCCAAGGGAGCAGCTTACCTCCATTTCTCAGTTTGCTTGCAATAGTGGTTTATCGCGTTATTACTTTTACTGTTATACAGTACTTTGTACAACTACCTTCTGTTTTGTAAGATCATTTTTATTTAAAAACATTTCTATACAGTGCTTTCTACCACTACCCAAGGGAGCAGCAGACCTCCATTTAAGTGGAAATTAATTTTTATTTAAGAGTTTCATATCCTAGAAAATGCATGATAAAAACCACCAAAGTCTGATTGTATGACTGAGAGTTGTGCGGTGTAAGACCAATTTTCAGGTTTCATATCATTATTGAACATGTTAAACCTGATCTTTAGCACATTTTTATGTATTGAACTTGACCTGCGCCATGTTTCCTCAAATTTGATTGTCACTAGCGAAAATTGAGATAGTTTATGCATATTAATAGCTAGGGAAGACATTATTTCTGAGCACTAAAGGTTTTAATTTTTATCATTTTCTTAAACATTATTTCAGGTTAAAGGGAAAGCAGCCATTGATGTTGTTTGCAATCCCTTGGGAAAGTCAGGTGGTGCTTTGATTCAACAGTTCATGATATTAACATTTGGCTCTCTAGCAAACTCTACTCCCTATCTTGGAGGAATACTATTGGTAATTGTTCTTGCTTGGTTGGGGGCTGCCAGATCTCTGGATTCCCAATTCTCTCCATTAGCCAAACAAGAGGTAGAGAAAGAGAGGGTGAAGGAAAAGGCCAAGGAACCTGTGATTGAAGTTTCTGCAAAAGAAGTTAGTAGCTTGGTGGAGAAGGAAGATAATGGTTCTCTTGCTGAACCTAAATCATCAAATGGTTCAGCTTTGCAACAGAAAACAGCTTCAGAGCCTGAAACCCCCAGCCAACTTCCGCAGTAAGGATTCCTTCAGAAATTTTCGGGTCTCAATACCCTGAAAGGTTGGTTTAGATATTCAAATGATTCTGGGAAAGATATGATGATTAGGTGATGCATAAACTTACAATCATCATGTAGTGATAGTAGTGGGAGGTATAGTAGTGATTTCTTTGTCTGTTTTTGAAATGAAATAAACTGACTTAGCACTTATAGTAGTGATTTCTTTCTGTTTTTGAAATGAAATAAACTGTCTTAGCAATTACTTCATTCATGCATGTACTTTTATCGATCAGTCTTTGAGAATCACTGTTGTTACATTTGTAATTTTTTTGTTAAACATCTTAGCAGAGATGCGTCAAAGTTATTTTTCTTCCACTTCTGATGTCATATTTTTCTTAGTTTTATGTTGGCTATCACAGGGGAATAAAAATAAAAAATCAAATTAGACGCCTTAGCTCGCTTGCAGACCGATGTGCTTCGTGCGATCTCTCCACACCGCTCCAGCCATGCTCCACACGATCTATGCACGACTCCATACTCCACTCGCATTGTTAAAACAAGAATGAGGCGAGAGGCTTCGTTCTTATTCCTCCCTCACGCATGCAACTACCGCATAAAGCCCTATCTTCGGTTGTGCCAAACTCCAAACATCAAAATCCCGAGCTCCCTCGTGCCCTTTGTTGAAATCCACGAACTCCTCGCAGCTCATACCCGCTTTCGGCAACATCTCATGTTCTTTCTCACTATCGAAGACTCCCATCCGACTTCTAATCTCGCAAGCAAGTCGAATCCCGCGCCTGCCTCTTCCTTTGCTCCCATATAGAACCCCACTGTGCTGATCTCCTTTGATGCAGACATTCGGCCCGCCTCTTCCTTTGCTCAACCAACCAAACCCTGATGCCTTTCCTCCATCTGACACCAACGCTCCAAGCCAAACCCAGCCCTAGCCTCCATTTCTTCCCTCTACCCATCCTCTGCCTTCTAGCCATGGATTCCCTGCACCTGTCGAGTCTTCATGATCCAAGCTGTCTCCCTGCTCAACCCGTTCGAAGACCAAGAGCCGCACCACCTCTCTGCCTCTTCCGTCTCATAGCCCGAACACAATCCATCCACCACTGCTTGCCGTGACATCCAACATTGACAGTGCACATCTTTCTTGATGTGGTGGATTTTTGTGTGGTAGGATTGAAGACTACAATTGCGGTGTCATCCAATACTGATAGTGCACGTCTTTCTTGACGTGGCAGTAAGGCTAAGACTTCCTAAATTTCCACTAAATGAGAAAATGTTAGGATGCTGCTGAAATTTTGATTAACATGGGATTTAATATCAACAAAATGATAGGGAACATAATTTAAGGTGAACAACAGGGAACCATAAAGTTTAAAATGCATAATTAGATTAAAAAATGTGAACACTAAATGATAATTCAATTCATTTAAACAGGTATAAATGAACGAGCATGGTACTTGTAGTGGGAAACCTTCGAACATGAGCAACTGCAGACAACATCAGTCGTAGAAAAGAGCACAAGTACTGTGAGAGCTCGTTCCTTTGATTTGTTTCTCTGTAGATGTGATTTTCGTCCCAGGATCGTCCGAGACGATATTGAGATCGTCCGGGACGATCAGTGCCATGAAAAAGCTGATTTTTTAGGTGCAGTTCGTCTGTACGAACTGGATTTAGTACTGGACGAACTGAAGAAATTTGTGAAGAAATTTGTTATTTTCGTCTGTACGAACCTGGAAGGGTCGGGACGATCCGTCTGTACGAAATTTGTCCAGAGAGCAAGTCGTCCGGACGCTATTTAATTTCGTCTGTACGAAATTTTGCCAGAGGGCAAATTGTCTCGGGACGAATATTGGATCGTCCGGGACGATCAGTGTTGATAAATATCCGATTGAGATATTTTGGATTCATTTGAAGAGAGAGAAGGAGAAGGCAAGAGAGAGAAAGAGAAAGAAAAGCAAAGGAAAAGCTTGGTTTTGGAGCCCGCGGAGAGCTTTTCTTCGACGACGCAGTTGGAAGATTTGTTTGTCTCGCGGTAAGGACTCCGAATCCTATTTCTGTTTTCGAAGATTTTGTGTTTTAGTATTTTTCTATTCAGTTTTGTGTTTCCGTTACCGAATTTCTTGCATATCTTTGGAATGACGAAAGTTTTACCGCGCAACTTTTGATATGTTTCTGATATGATATGTCTGAACGTTTTGAGTATTTTCTGTAAAATTTCTACCGGTTATTTTGGGTTCTGTGTGATTTTTATCGAATAGAAAATTATCAGGATGTTGCAAAATGTTGTCTCAGTACGATAAAAGTCTTATAATGTTGTTGTGGATATTCTGGGGTAATTTGGTAAATTTCTGAATCTGTGATTTCTGTGTAAATTCCGTATACTGCCGTTATGCCGCTGACGAGTTTTCTGACGAAATCCGATTTTCTGATTTGAATGTTTTACGATAGTGGACATGATGCAAGCATAATAACTCTCCTACAAACATATCGAAGGGGACTGCATCAGATGTACAAGAAGGAATTATGATACGATAGCTCATATACAAGAAAGAATCAGTAGCCCACTACTAGCGTGCAAATCTATATGTGAATGAAGGAAACTTGTCATGCCATCGTAGTCCACATATGGGTGATGATTAGTGACATACATCCAACATGATAGAGCCCCTTGCAAACATACATAGTGCATCATGCAGTGAGTGTGAACTCTTGCTAGCAATGACGGGAGAGCTGCTGTATGTGCAACAATGATAGTCAGCAACAAACAATGAATGCAATAATGCCCTACAATTAATATCCATTCATCGACAGACAAATGCAGTGATCCCTTACAAGAAAGATCAGATGATCAATATATAATGCTCATATCAATAATACCCTACAAGCAAAAGATACATATGTGCATTGAATGATAACCTGCCGGCTAACATGCACATGGAACCAGTGATGAATGCAACACAAATAGTAGCCTACATAAGCATGCTAGCGTACAATACCTGCTTGCAAATAATAATATTCCCTGCGAACATCCACAAGCAGTGGTGATAGTATATGTTGCAAGGGTGTTGAGTCCCTTGTGAACATAGATACAGATGCAACATGATGTTTTGTGAGCAGAGACTAAAGATTGCAGCAAATACAGGAGTACTACAATAAATGCAAGCGCCTTCGAGTCGTTGTAGAAAACCCTTGCAGTTAACAACCACACTAAGAAGAAGCACGCTCATTTTACACTAGACTCGAAGATTTTGTTGATTAAGTATAACTAAGTCCTCCAATTGATAACTCTAGAGGCTCTGATAGTGACAGTTGGGATAAAGGCAACTCGATGTAAGGAGAAAGCCCGCCGACATATTGCCATAGGAATGTCCTAATCGTGGCACTAAGCATGCAAGGTTGAATGATTCTGTAGAGTTAAAGAATGATTAGTTGAAAATATGTCTCTATTGGAGGGTATATCAAAGCTGATTTGGATGGATGTACCATTGAGGCTTGTATATTTTATCATCTTTGCAGAATTACTGAGGCTTCTAGAGAAATACCACATTATTTGAATAAATGACAAATAGCCGGAGATCAAACTTCACAACCTAATGTCCTACATGTGCACCATTAAATGTTACAGCTGCAGGTTGAAGGGAGTTGCTCTTGGTTGCTATGTCAAGGGCCGCAAGAAAAGTCTCCATGTCTCATGTGCATATCAGATGCTAGAATGTCGTTAGGATACTAAAAAATATATTGTGCTTTTTTCTATTCATGCTTCAAGGAAATCACCTTATGGCAAGCTAAGGTGGGGAAGCTTAACATCGCACAAACTTCAGTGACTTCATTGAATCTTCCTATAAATGCAACTTGAAGGACCTTGCAATTGAAGCCATGGATCGCCGAGGCATTAGCTCTGAGAGTAGGAACTGTTGTTCACCATACATTATTTTTTAATGTTGCTGCTGATGATCTACAAATTTTGTACGAAGATGCGCTGCTAAATGACTCCACCGGATTCGTAATATTCATACAAGCATACATAAGGCATCTACAAGCTTCTAAATAAAATGTTGTACACACTCAAATGATAATCATTCATATGATTGTTTATTGCCAAATATTTTAAAATGTTCTCGTACATGAATTGCAACAGACATAATAATTCATACAAACATGTCATTCAGCATCGCACTATGCATTATACTATAATAGTGCATCACATTTACATGCTAACATATTGCACATGCATATAGTCGTAACATGCATAATGCATCATAACAAATGTGTCATTCAGTATGCAGGTTGTGTTATGCGCATACACATCGCATCATAGAAAATGCATTACGCAGACACGTTATTCAACCCGTGAAATGTATTACGCATCAACAGCGTGCCCTCGCTAGCATGCAGATACATTATGCACTACATGCAAGCGTCGAATTATCATGCAAATATGTCACGCGGGAAAATCGACGATGTATAGATACATTATGCATGCATTTTGCACAAATGTACTATGCACCATGTTAATGCGCTGCGCTATGCGGGCAAATCGATCGGGAGGTTTTGCTGCCAAATTGCACCATTACATTACGGTCATGGTCAAATCCAATATGCTCCCCAGTGGCGCTAAATCTTTAAGTGATGAATCAATATGATATAATCGACAGAGCATAAAGCCTTATGTTAGCTAAGGTGGATTCAAATTTGTCCTCTTAGACAAATATTCACCATAGGTCTATAAGGTTCTCTTGGACGAAGCAAACCAATGCTGCCGACAAAGATTCTTATGTCAAGTTGGGTCGACTATCTCCTCTGACTAAGTAGATTAGGGACCATGATGATCCGGGGCTACATAACCAAGGAATCTTGATCGGGTTCATCATCATTCCCCCCGGCGTCCACTATTCGCTTTAAATGCAAGGTGGTGAATTTTTAATTTTAAATGTCAAATTTTCAAATACCAAATCATGATGCTACTATACGCCAGATGCTTTGCATTTATTTGATGACTAATCTTAATCGAAACTTTTCTCTCATTACCGGGAGGAGTAATTAACATAGTGGGTTGCGCCTATAGGAAACCTGTGCTCATATCATAAAGTCCTCACAAAATTAGGGCGAAATTTATGGGTAATGTCTTATTTAAAACTCAATATGCATTCTGAAAATTTGCCTCGGAACATACTTGTTAAAACTCTCCCTGATAACCTGAAGAAAGAAAAAAAGGGGTTGCGGAGAGGTCGGGGCTTGAATTTTCAGAGCCCACATTTTACTATTCTTGTATTGCATATGCTGAAAATTTCTGTAAATGTTTGTATAGGTAGGGATCAATCTAATGGAAATAGCATAGTTATTTTCTCCTTTCTATCACTCTTTTGGAGTATCAGAGTCACCGTCCTCAGCTCGTCTTCCTGATCCGGCTCTACCTCTACCTGGCCTTTCTTCAGCTCCCTGGCCTCTCTCTCCCTATCTCTCCTATCAACGTCCCTGCTGCCTCGACAATCATGCCAGTATTCATTGAATAGACCATGCATTCCTTGTGCAGAAAAAGGCAGCAACGGAAATCTTCAACTCCTCTTTCTCATTATTCTTTTTGACAACTTAATAGGATTCCTTCAACAGTCGCTACCTCATGCATTACAACTATTTAAATTAAATATTTGTTATATTAAAAACTGAGATAATCAGAATTTTATTTTTAATAATTTTATGGTTGAAATATTCATCACAAAGAAATGAACCGAATAAGTCAAAATCATTGATTCTTTCTAGCATCATTAAACTATGAAATTTTAGAAATTTTAAGATTTGCTATTTCATCATAAGCATGATAATTTTAATTGGAAAAGAAAAAAAAATTATGATTTTAAAATTTACATAATTTCAAAAAGTAGTTTGAAATTAAACATATAAGCTTAGTTGGAAGCCTAAGCTCTCAACCAATAGGTCAAGGAGAGTTGTGTAACTCCTCTTTCTCATTATTCTTTTTGATAACTTAATAGGATTCCTTCAACAGTCGCTACCTCATGCATTACAACTATTTAAATTAAATATTTGTTATACTAAATATAAGAAATTAAATATTTATAAAATCTTCTAATAAAAAATTTTTAGGTCTATCTCTACCTTATTAATGTAGGTTGGATCTAATATGTCTATTCTTTAATCGGGTCATCCGAAGACTGATGCTTTATGTGACCAAATCATCACAATAATTTTATTGGTCCCTAGAGCTACTTCAACCTTGTCATGCATATACTCATTTTACTATTGTAAAGCTCTTCTCCATCTGAGTAGTACTATATTTTATGCTTCTCTTCTCTTTTAATGACCAATATTTTGTGTCATAAAACATTGTAGGTCTAACCACCCTCTTATAACGTTTAGGGTGATCCTAATCAGTGATAAATATGAAAAAAATTAGAAATTTAAAAAAGTATTTCTAGTGTTTGATCAACCTTAAATTTTCAAAAATTTGACGTGTTACAAAATTATTATTGAAATCAATGAAATTTGATTATTGTATACATTTTTTTGTTTTTTTATCATAACTAATAACATATCTTAAATTTAAAATTTGTATGAAATGACATATATGGAAACAAAAAGGAAGAGTATAAACAATCTCCTCTTAAAACATTATAATTATATCCCATTACTTCATAAGAGACGTGTGCCAAAGAGCATAAACATTTTATATTTATATTGATTTTGATGGTATTTTCGTTTCTTAGCGTAGATTCGGTTATTCTGACAGAGAGAGAAAAAGTATGTTATTGAATAAAATACCACCATATATTCAAATATGATTGGATCATTATTTACTTGTATATGTTGAATGTTCAAACTAATTCAGTATGATTTGATTAAATATATAGTCTATTGATAACAATAATAATTCCACCGCTATAGAAGTCTTGACCCTCTCTAATTGTCTCCAAAAGTTTTTAATTTAATATTCGAATAATTTTAGATCTAAACAAAAATGTCAATATTTGCGATAAATTAATTCCTTCACCCTTCACAAAGGAAGCTTCTCTGTGCTGTAATCGTTGCAAGTTGCAGTATATGTAATTGAAGCGTGGAAGTCAAGCCATCTATTCATTGGAATTCCACAAATGAATTGGCTAATATATATTTTTTTATTACATGAATTGTTATTTTTTAATTGTATTTTATTAAGGGATATCTTATTTTATTTAAATTTAATAATATTTTTTAAAACTATTTTCTAACTTACTCTTTAATTAAAATTCGAATAATTTTGCAACTAAAAAATCATGCAAAGCTTCTTCTCCATGCAAGTTACTATGTTATTGACGCTAAAAATATGGTGAATTTTATGATATTCCATCTGACCAATTGACTTTTTATATAGTGAGAATTGAATAACGATTCGTTTTTTTATATATAAATTCATGAAGGCATGTGTGCCTTCTCTTCCATACTAGATAGTACGTAGAAAGGTCCTTAATTTCTTCACAAATAATCGTGATTCAATGGAAGAAATTCTCATCAGTCTCTTGTTCATTTTATGTTTATCTCCCTGCTCCCAATCATTCGCAAGTGTCAACAACACAGTGGACTACAAATCACTTGTTGATATCAAGGATCAGTTCCTGAAGCAAAGCAATTCTGCTTCTTCTGCCACTTTCATGAGCTCATGGAACGAAGCTAATCCATTTTGTTCATGGGAAGGAGTCACATGCGGGCACGAGCACTCAGATAGAGTCACAGCATTGGATCTCAGCTCCATCGGTTTGGCTGGTCCTCTTCCTCCTGCCATAGCCAATCTCACCTTCCTCAAAAGTCTCGATCTCAGTAACAATGGCATCTATGGTGAGATCCCTCTATATCTCGCTCGCTTGCAACGACTCGAACATCTCAACCTGAGTTTTAACTCGTTTCATGGAGACATCCCTGCCATTCTGGTGACTAATAGTTCTGTGTTTCAAGTTCTAGATCTCTGCTGCAATAAACTCACAGGAAAAATCCCTCTTTTTATCAACTCTGTGTCTCCGCTCAACTACTTGGGCTTTGATAACAACATCATCACAGGCAAAATTCCAGCTTCAATTGGCAATCTCACCTTCTTGGAAGGTCTCTATGCTACTTATAATAATCTAGAGGGAGAGATTCCAGTAGAGATTGGTGGCCTCCGTAGCTTACAAGTCTTCAGAGTGGGTGAGAATAATCTTTTAGGTAACATTCCTTCTTCATTCTACAACCTGTCATCGCTGCGCATAATTTCATTGGCAAATAATCACCTCTCTGGTGGCATTTCGTCTGACATCGCCCAAGCTTTTCCAAACCTAGAAATCTTATATATTGCTAGAAATCATTTCATCGGCTCACTTGAAATTCTTCAAAATGTTACCAGTCTCGAGCGTTTGGACATCGGGGTAAATAATTTCACAGGAGTGGTGCCACCATATTTTGGGAAAATGCAGAATCTTGTATACCTCAATATGCAACGAAATGAACTTAAAGCCATTGATGCACAAGACTGGAGATTTATTGATTCTTTAACTAATTGCACAAGCTTAGAAATGTTAAGTCTTTATCATAATAACTTTGGTGGAATGCTTCCAAAATCATTTTGGAACCTCTCTATTGAGCTTCGAGATATAACATTAGGACTCAATAATATTTCAGGAAGCATTCCTTTTGAACTTGGAAGGTACACCAATTTGATTAATTTTGGGATGGAGGGAAATCTTCTGAGTGGTTTTATACCCGAGAGCATTGGAAAACTTAAGAGCCTACAAGTGGTATCCCTAGATCAGAATAATCTTCATGGAATTATTCCTTACTCCTTAAGCAATCTCACTATACTTACCAATTTGTGGTTGGCATTTAATCAATTAACTGGTACCATACCCTCAAGCATACAAAATCTTCAAAATCTCAATGATTTGGATCTCAGACATAATAATTTAACTGGCTTGATTCCAAAAGAACTTTTTCTCATCCCCTCTTTATCAAATACTTTATTATTATCATATAATTCTTTAACTGGGTCTCTACCTTTCGAGGTTGGTCATCTAGTAAATATCATGTCACTTGATTTTTCTCATAATAAATTAAATGGAGAAATTCCAACATCACTTGGAAGTTGTCAATTATTGCATGAATTATATATGGGTGCTAACTTCTTTTATGGCCCTATTCCTATTTCTCTAAGCAATATGAAGAGTCTTGAAATGCTAGACCTTTCGCATAATAATTTATCAGGGTCTATTCCTCAATCTCTTCAAAATCTTATCTACCTTAAGTACTTGGATCTTTCATTTAATAGCCTTGAAGGTGAGGTGCCATACAAAGGTGTCTTTGCAAATTCTTCAACAATCTCCCTCATTGGAAATGAAAAGATTTGTGGAGGAATTCCAAAACTTCATTTGCAAGAATGTGTTTTCAATTCAAAGTCAACAAAAAGAAAAAGTCATCATTTAATCAAAATCATTGTCCCAATTCTTAGCTTTCTTGTTTTGTTATTGGCTTTTTTGTTGTGCTATACTTTACTCTATAAAAAACAAAAACAAAGTGGCCGAAGAAGAAATTTGTCAAACTCATCTTTGAGCACTCCATTTCCAAGAATTTCCTATGCAAAATTAGCCAGAGCTACGAATGGTTTCTCCAGTTCATATTTAGTAGGAAATGGACGGTTTGGCTCCGTCTACAAAGGCACCCTAAAAGATTATCAAGCTATTGTGGCTATCAAAGTTTTCAAACTTGAGGTCCATGGAGCTTTTAAGAGTTTCATATCTGAATGTGATACATTAAGAAGTATAAGACATCATAATCTTGTGAGGATCCTAACGTCTTGTTCGAGCATTGATCAACAAGGAAGAGATTTTAAAGCTTTGATTTTTGAGTTCATGCCAAAGGGAAACTTGGACATGTGGCTCCATCGAGATTATGAAAAAGATGGAGATGATGTTCTTTCTTTAGAAAAGAGATTGGACATTATCATCAATATTGCTGATGCTTTGGAATATCTTCATCATAGTTGTGAACCATCAATCATTCATTGTGATGTGAAGCCAAGCAACATCTTGCTTGACAATAACATGATTGCACATGTAGGAGATTTTGGACTCTCAAGAATGATTTCTGAGGCTATGAGCACGACACTTCAAGATTATTCTGACAAAAGTGAGATTAAAGGAACAATTGTCTATTTTGCTCCAGGTAATGCCATGATTCCTCTTCTTTGTGCTATAATTAAGCATGTCATTATCTTTCAATATGATGTGTGTGCTCTTTTAAAGTAATATTTTCTTAAAACTATATACATTCCTTTTTATTTGTAGAATATGCTGAAGGAGCTCGCCCGTCTACCTCTACAGATGTTTATAGTTTTGGAATAATAATACTGGAAATGCTTACCGGAAGGCGACCTACTGATGATATTTTCAAGGATAACTTAACTCTATACAATCACGTCAAAATGGTATTTCCTCATAGAATCAATGATATCGTCGATCTTAAAATGTTTACAGAAGAGCAAATTGATGCCAATAAGAGTAGTTTCTCGAGCATCCAAAGATGTTTGCTTTCTTTGGCTGAAGTGGGTCTTTTATGCTCAACTTCATTATCAGAAAAAAGGCCGGGCATGAGAGAGGTTGCTACCAAATTACATGCAATTAGAGTTTCTTATCTTCAATCTGATGAAAATAGTGGAGTGAAATAGTAGTTCTTCATTTGTTTTAGGTCTCTTCTTTCCTGCGACTTAGCTTTTGATAAATAATTAGATAAGTAAAGTTGTTACATACATTTAAATTAATCTCTTATTTCCTTGATCATGAAATACGATTGCAGTGCTGTTACTACCAAATTACATATTATTTTATTTTATTTTTTTATTTTGAGCTTTTTTGTTTCATGTTTTGACAAAAGTTGTATTAATTTTTTTTTTTCAAGTTTAGAGATATAGAGTTGCTCAGATTCAAAGGCCTTGGAGATTCTTACTTGAAATACTCAAGATGAAAAAGAAAAAAAAAAAAATCACAGGGCAACGGATAATCAAAGTAGATATACCACTCATGATTCAAGATTATAAAGGTGCTCCCTCCCTCAAAAGTGTTAATTAGACGTATTAAGCTTAAAGAGGGGGGAGAGAGACGAAGATAGGAGAGAGGGAGAGAGAGTGCCGATGGAGAGAGAGAGAGATAGCGAAAGAGGGAGAGAGAAAGAGCTGACGCAGGAGAGAGAGGAAGAGAGCTAACACTACAGGAAATTCATGAAATACATACGGCATTCCGGCGGCTCAATAATCGCCGGAAATTCTAGAGGTTAAGCTGACAGATTGACAATTGGTAATAATCAGGGGCTATATCGACAGATTGAGTGCCAAAATTTTTGGCGGTTATTGAGCCGCCAGAAATCTCATCGGTTTATCCTATGCTTGACGCAATAACTGGCGGATTGACTGCTAGTTTGAGCCATATTTTTCATCTACTTGCTCTTTTTCCACATTTAAACATGTATACTCATTTTGTTCCATCCTAGAGCCCTCTCGTCGCTGCAGCTCCAACCGAGCTTCGGCCTTACCGAGGTCGGCATTGATCTTCATCTCCCTAGCCATAAGTGATCAACTCTCCTTCCTTGTTCTTCTTGATAAACAAAGTGATAAGCAAGCCCACATATCGCTTCATGCTTCCAGTACTCTGCCACGGTAACAGAGACCTTTTTCCTGACTGTAAATCTTCACCGTTAATGTTCAACTGATCCATCTCTACCGTTCAAGTGCTGTCATGCTCTTGATTATATAGCTTGTAACAGCAACGCAAAAGCCCAAGAGAAGAAATGCTTTTCACTGTTCATTCTCTCGTTCCTTCCTCTATGCTTCTTGTCTTGTGCTCTTTCTGTTTTGCAGATTGAAGATAATCAGTTGAAGCAAAGTTCACATGGTATCAGAGCAAGTTTAGTGCCTTGCGGCTGTATTTCGTTTTCTTCTCCTTTGCAATGGAAAACCCTTCTCAATCTTCTACATCTTCTCAAACTTCCTCAACTATCAAAATGGGCGATGTTCCTATTCCGCCTCAGTTAAAGTTTCTCATGACAAATGTGAAATCAGTACTCAATATTCAGCTTACAGCCGAAAATTATCCGCTGTGGAAGTCGCAAATTCTGAAACTGTTAACTGCGAATGGATTTGAAGGTTTTTTTGATGGTTCTTGTGTCAAACCTCCTAAACTTATTACCTCTGCTACTAATCTTCAACCAAATCTTGAATATTACTCTTGGTTACTTATTGATCAGAATTTAGCCGTGTTCTTTATTCGACCATTTCTACTACCTTTCTTCCTTACGTTTTGTCGCTGGATTCCTGTTGTGAAATTTGGCAAACCATTGAGCGCCGACTGCAGGCTACCAATCGCTCAAGGATTCTTCAACTGAAGAATGAATTAAATCACATTTCCATGAAAGACAAAACCATGATGCAGTATTTATCTGAAATTAAAGGCAAGGTCGACGCGATAGGTTCGTCTGGTTCCCCATTGTCTTCTGATGACATTATAATGTATACCCTCAATGGCTTACCCAGCGCCTATCAGGGTTTTAAAATTGCGATAAGAACTAATTTGAATCCAATGAGTTTGGATGATTTCTACGCACTTCTTTGTAGCGAAGAAATCAATTTAGCAGCTGAATCTGTCCGCGAATTATCTCTGTCATCGGAATCTCTACAAGCATTAACAGCTCAATGTGGTCGCTCGCGTGGCCGTGGTTATCGTGGAAGAAACACATCTCGACCTCCTCGCGGCAGAACAAATGCTTCCCGAAGTACTCCGTCCACAGCTTCACCAGTGGAATGTCAAATTTGCGGCAAATATAGTCATTCAGCTGTTAAGTGCCGGTACCGTGGTGATTTCACCTATCAATAACCTACTTCTGCTTACTTCGCTGAGCTTCCACCATCGTCTTCCGATTGGTTACTTGACATAGGAGCTACTGCACATCTCACGGCTGATTCAAACCAGATGTACAATGTCCGATCGTATAAGGGTGATAAGAAGGTCATGGTTGGTAATGGGGATCTTCTCCCAATAACTCATACTGGTCAAGGTTTATTACCCACTCCTAGCCGTAAGCTTTATCTTTCTCCTCTTCATCTTGTTCCTCATTTAACCAAAAATTTAATTTCTGTCAAACGTCTTACTACCGATAATTCTTGTACTGTTACGTTTGATTCTAATGTTATCGTATTCAGGACCCGAAGAACAACCAAACTCTCCTTCACGGTCCTAGCTACTTCTCGAGGACTATCCTCTTCAAACTAAGCAAGGCCGTTCTCGGGTCGAATCTACCTTTTCAGCCATTAGCTCAAATATTCAACTCTGGCATCGACGTCTTGGTCATCCGTCTCATCCTGTTCTTCTACAGCTCCCGAAATATTGTGATCGTTCCTTATGTTTGTCTTGTCGTCCACTAGTCAATGTAACACTTGTGATCGTTCTAAAAGTCACAAGTTACCGTTTGTTGCTTCTTTATCTAGATCTTCTCATGTTTTAGCTTTAATACATAGCGATGTATGGGGTCCATCACCCTTTCTATCAATACATGGTTTTAATATTATGTGTTGTTTGTGGATGACTTCTCGCTTATACTTGCTATATCCATTAAAGCAAAATCTGATTTGGCAACTATTTTTTCTTCAGTTAAACGTTTAGTTGAAAAATCAATTCAATAAACTGTGACCTCTTTTTCGGCATCGATCACTTATTAGTGTCTTGTCTTGCATTTT